ACATGTACATAACACATCTTTCCAAACATAGGAACATGAGTAACATCCATCTGCCAGAGGACATTTGGCTTAAGACCTCTGGGATTCACGCCCATTTTTGGAACTGACTGTGGCGGTGGACATACAGAACAGTCGCGCACAATCTGTCTTGCTTGTTCCCTGGTTAAGGAGAACATCCTTTTTAATGCAAGAGCATTTTGGTGATGTAGCATATGACTGTCTTGGGCTTGTTGAACTGTGGCAATGACTGACTTAGTTAATGAATCAGCAGTAGCATTGCCCTGTGCTAAAGGACCTGGTAAAGAAGAATGACTTCTAATATGTGAAACATGAAATTTATTAGATCGACTTTGAATGAGTTTTTGTAATTCTTTTAGCATTGGCAGTATTTTTGAATGACCCGACAGCAGGGCCGTCTCAATCGCTGGAAATAAATTAGAAACATACTTAGAATCCGTAAAGAGATTAAAGCTTTGTGGAAAAATTTTAAAGGCTATGAGCACTGTTCTAATTTCCGCCTGTTGGGCGGAGGTCACATTTCCTGCCTCCATCAGCGGCAAGCGCCCCTCAGTGTAAACCACCGATTTCCCGGAGGAAGAACCGTCAGTAAAAAGATTGATAGACTGTGGTAAAGGTTCTGATGAATACCACAAAGGGAAAATTATGCTAACCTTTTTTGCAAATTCAACCACAGGATGTCGAGGGTAATGAAATTTAATTTGACCTGCATAGCCTTGCAGTGCTATAATCCAATCCTCATTATTCTGAAATAAAAGATCCGTTTGTAATTTATTATATGGCGATATGATCTCAGGAACATCTTTGCCAAACAATTCTTTAGAGCGCTGACGGCCTTTAACAATTAATAATGCACATAAATAAGGATAATCAGCCAGCATTTTTGAATGCGTGTGTGCTAAATGTAGCCATTCCAGAACTCCATGTTGCCAAAGGCAGCCTTTGGGAGTATATTCTGTGGCAAAGATTAATAATTGCCAGGGCATGTGTAGCTGAATCTGTTTGACTCTGGCTGAGCTGAGGGCATCGTCAACCAAAGTCAAAGACGATAGTGCCTCAGGGTATGAGCAGCGAATGTGTAATAATGAAGCTGCCACAAACTTTTGACATAAAGTGGGGATATTTTTCATGCCCTGAGGTAAAACTTTCCACTGGTACCTTCTGAATGGTCTTTGAAAATTTACAGAAGGAACACTAAATGTAAAATGAGGGCAATCATCGGGCTGTAATTTGATGGTGAAAAAGCAGTCCTGTAAATCAATAACTATGACATGCCATCCTTGTGGCACTGCCACCGGAGATGGAAGACCAGGTTGTAAAGCTCCCATATCTTCCATTACTGCATTTACTGCCCTTAAATCTTATAATAATCTCCACTTTCCTGATTTTTTCTTTATGACAAAAACAGGTGTGTTCCAAGGACTATTAGTCTCCTCAAGATGTCCCTTGTCCAATTGTTCTTGGACTAGTTGTTCTAGAGCCTCTATTTTTTCTTGTGTTAGGGGCCACTGATTAATCCATACAGGCTCTTGTGTTTTCCAAATAATTTTATCAGCAAAAAGCTGTTCTTCAGCGGCCCCTATGAAAAATGCTGTTCACTCAATTGATCAGC